TTCTATGATTATGTTTATTCTTTGGAAATTATAGATTTAATTATGTGTATATCATGTATGAGTTGTTACGGTAATTTAATGTGGTATGTATGGTTATGTTAATTTTAATTATGGTTATGTGGTTGGAAATCATGTTAGGAGTTTATATAATTAATTTTGAGTTTATCAAATTAATGGGATTTTTAATTATTTAGGGTGTTAGATATTTTTATATTGGCCTATGTAATTAAAATATAGCTTAAAATAATTATTTAAGACTTTAGGGATTTATAAAATTTTCTAAAATTTTCAGGGAATTTTCTGTAACTTTCGGCGAAAATTCCGGAGAGAATCCGGCCACTGGCAGAGGGAGAGATGATCGGAGTAATCCAGTGTGATGCGGCATACTATTACTTGGTGAGCGAGCGCATCCTGGCCATTGAGGAATTCAGATGAATCCAGTGCATCGCAGTCCGTGCTACTTCTGTGCACATGAATCACTAGCCATAGATTAGTTGATGATCTTCAGATCAATCCTGTGTAGCGCGCCCACAGAGACTCGATGCAACCGAAGAACCATCACGCGCCGTGTCAGCAGAGAGTTTTAGCATGGGCGTGGCAGACTCCAAACGAGCGTGGAGGCCCGCGTGAAAGTGGGGAAGGTGGCAGCGCGTGGGGGAAGTTTAGGGTGGAGCGTAGGGGCGCGTGAGGAACCTCTACAGCATCTGGAAAAGTCCAGAATACCCCTAGGGACTGTTTTATAATTTCCAGAACCTTAAACCTCTATTTTAGGGCCTATGGTTGGTATTTATGGGTTTAACGGGGTATTTAAATTATTATTTTATTTCCCATTAATTATTATTATTGTCCGATTAATATTGTTAAATATTAAATGTATTGTTTCCAATATGGACAGCTATGAATTAGATTTAATTTATTTAATGGCATTGTTAAATATTAATTGTGTCATTATTTTCAATGGTATTTATCATTAATGTTAAATTAAATGATTGCATGATTTTAATCATATAAATTGTCCATTATACATTATGAGATTATTTATGTTGTTAATGATATTTAATTATTATTATTATGTTTGCATTTTAGGAAATAAATGGACTGAATAATAAATTAAGTCGCATTTATATTATATAAATGTGTTGCCTAAATTATGGATTTATTATATTCATTAGCACTGTGGCAGGTGTTGCCAAATAGAATCAGTGGACTGGCTAATAAGTACAGTTTCACAATTCCCTACAGGCATGGTTGATTTGTCTAGGGATATAGTTTAAAGGCATGGTTGATTTGTCTACAGGTTCACAATTCCCTACAGGCATGGTTGATTTGTCTAGGGACAGGGTCGATAGGCATGGTTGATTTGCCTATTAGATTATTATCGGGCATGGTTGATTTGTATAAGTGATAGACGTTTTATGTGTTGTTTATTATTTCCGATGTACTTATTTATGGAGCTGTATTTTAATTTAGGGGTCTTACACAAGGGATTTCCAAGTTGTTTTTTTTTTTTTTTCTTTAAAAAATTTATTTATTTATATTCCTTGGTTTTCGTGTGTGGGTCACCGGATCAAGGATTCGGTCTGACTCTGATATTAATTGTAACGGGTGGACATTTGTACATTTACCCAAAAATTCAAACTATTATGTAGTGTTACATACCCACCTATTTATACCCAATCGCTTTTCTATCCAGATTCGATGTGGAACAAATGACCCTTGTTACGCTTAGTGTTACTTCTCTAACTCTCAAAAAGATTAAAGTAAGTGTGTGAATTTCTTGCCAATAATAATAATAAAAAAACACTTAAAATTTCTCAAACCCCAAATCATTAATTAAATGTTAGAATGGGAAAGCTTCCCCTCCTTCACGTTGGTTTAGGCTTTACTTTGACGAGTACACTTTTTTTTTTTTTTTTTTTTTACCCTTAATACAGTTATGTGTCTACTTAATCTCTTCTGTTTTTTTAAAAAATCAACGGCCAAGCGCTTGTTAAAAAAAAATTCTTATCATAGCGCGCGGCCACTCCAGTGACTCCACCGTCACAACAGCGCGCTGCCGCCACCACCTTTCATCAATACGACGGATCTGGATCCAATCAACAGTCGGTAACGGCGCCAACATCATCACAACTGGGCGTTTCCGTCACCACCATTCACACCCCATAACCACCACCACCACTACTGTGAGATATGGATATGAGTTATCTGACCTCGGTGAAGAAGAAGGTGCGAAATTAGGGTTTCGATGGAAGGAGTAGAAGAAGGTGGTGGAGAATCAGATCGGCAGTGGTGGAGGCGTTTCTGATGGTGGCGGTGAAGAAGGCGGTGAAGAAGGCGGTGATTTAGGTGGCGGTGAAGACTCCGGCGGTGGTGGTTCTGTGGAATTGTGCTTGAGTTGTTGGGTAGGGTTCATTAGGCAGTCCACGTCGTCATCTGTTGAGGTTGAGGTTACTTTTGTTTTAAATTACTTTAATGCCCATTATTTTTCTATGATGTGGCAGTTTGAGTTGTCTGCATTTTTACAAAAATAACTCCAAGTCACAAGATATGAATATCCATAGCCCAAGAGAAATGTAATTCGGGGAGCGGTGGCTCCTTTGGCCACGGATTAACAGGTAAATTGACCTTTAACTTCCCTTCTCACTAATCAACTTACACTTTTCTTTGACACGTTTAACTCAATATACATACACACACGGGGCGGAGCCAGGATTGCAAAGTAAGGAAGGCTAAAAACAATTAAACTCATGATTGCTTAATGTGTCATTCATGCTCTAAATATATAATTATGGTGCATCAGTTATTCAATTAAACTCAATAATTTACACTTCCAAACTTTAACGTATTTTCACAGTCAAGAATCCAATAAAGTTTGCTTCATATAAGTATTAAAATAAACAACTACAAGAATGCAAGATATATATGTTCCTTATCAATAAATTTACATTAGAAAGTAACATTTATGTGCTCCACCCCTGACTAGTTATTAATCCATTATATAAAAAATTATCCAATTTAACAAGAAATTATCAAGTCATCAACAGAGTCTTTTTTTTTTTTTTTTTTTTTTTTTACAAAAATAAAATTCAATATTTTATTGGATTAACAATAATAATTCATGATATCCATCCACCTATGCCTTAGTGCCTTATACATGAATAGTGTAGGTCTTCTTCCATTGACTAACAATGTGTTTGATTTACTGGGTTGGGCCCTATTGTATTTTATTATGATTTATTTTGTGACTGGATATGTCTATGGTTTGTAGGCTTACTCATATTTAAGGCTTAATCTTTGTAAATTTTATTACTCTTTTTATGATTGGGCAGAGCTGATAGGAAGAGGAAGAGTAGTACATAGGCTTGTAGGAACAAAAGTATTAATTTTTTTTTTTCAATTGGACCTGGGTTATAGTCCATGTTAGCCCGTTACTAGTTCCTCCCTTGTACACACACAATTTCACCAACAATCCACACTGTTATTTTTCCTCACTTGTTCACAAACCACGGCCAACTTCTTCTTCGTAATTCATGTCTCCAATTTTCTCTCCGACACACGCAAGCACATATTATTAAATGAGAATGGCGTGTGGACCCATCCTCACAACATAACTAGACCGCAGACCGCGTAAAGTTTATAATGTCTCGCAATCGGTGACAGGCCTTCGCAACTATTTCAAATTTATCTGCTGGGAAATTTCCATAAACCGTGTAAAGTTTCAAAGCAGCAACACTTCCTCTTTTCCAAGTAATGGAGTCTTTGCCAAAATAATTATCAATTCTTAACAATAAATAGATAAATAAAGAAATATTGAAGAAGAAAACTGATAGATAGTGTTAATGTCCTGTTCTTTCTCTCAACCTAAATGCCTAATTGAGTCCTGCATATATATTGAGTGAATTTTCATATTTTAGTTTTTGGTAAACAAAGAAACATGTTGGTTCTGTCCCAAACTTCAAAAACCATGTTTCTTTTTCCCCTTGGGATTATTTTAGCTGTCTACCTCGCTGTCCATCATTTTGGATTTAGATTCGCTGGTAACTCTTCCGGCAGTTATCATCCCATTGCAGACATAGCCATTAACTGTGGCTCCTCTGGCAACTCATCTGCTTTTGATGGCCGGGAATGGGTCGGAGATCATATCCCTAATCCTAAATTTCCTTCATCACCAGAACTAAAAGGCAAATCACTAAGCTCAAAAACTGTCCACCAATCACTTTTCATCGATCCCGTTCCTTACATGACCGTTCGCATCTCTCGTTCCCAGTTCACCTATACATTTCAACTCAGTCCAGGCCAAAACTTCATTCGCTTGCACTTCTATCCAGTTTCTTACCCTGGTTTTGAAAGATCTAAGGCCCTTTTCACTGTTAGAGCTGGTCGTTACACTCTCCTCAGCAGCTTCAGTCCTTCCCTTAACGCAGATGCTTTGGGCGTAAGATATTTTGCTAAAGAATTCTGTGTGAACGTGGAAGAAATTCAAGTATTCAATATCACGTTCTTTCCATCTCAAAGTAGTACTTTTAGTAATGCATATGCTTTTATCAATGGAATTGAGATCGTCTCCATGCCCACCGGTCTTTATTACACTCCCGACTGTGATTTGGGCCCTCCTGTTGTTGGTAACAAGGTTTTTAGATACTATATTGACAACGGCACTGCACTAGAGATGGTTCACCGCTTAAATGTTGGAGGAAGATCCATTTTGTCAGTACAAGATTTGGGCAACATGTTCCGTGTGTGGTCTGAGGACAAGAAGTACTAGTTACAGTCGGCAGTTCTACCAGTTAACACAACTACTGTAATTAAGTACACAAGTACACCAACATACCTTACACCATTGGAAGTATATCAAGGCCCATGGTCTATAGGTTCAAACAGCCAAACAAACCAATGGTACAACTTTACATGGAAATTACCACTGGATTTGGGTTTCAGATATTTGGTTAGGCTCCATATCTGTGAGCTTGAACCCACCATCACTCTGAGCAGCCAGAAACGGTTTGCTGTTTTGATAAACAATATGATTGTTGAGACTGATGCAGATGTGATCAAATGGAGCGGTGGAAATGGGATTGCAATATACAATGACTATGTGGCCATGATGGAAGGAGACTGGATGGAGTGCAGGGGTGATTTAATCATAACTTTGCAACTCAAATATGAGTCCGGCATTAAGAAGATCGATACAATCCTAAAAGGTATAGAGATATTTAAGTTGAGCAACCCTGACAACAATCTTGCTGGTGTGAATTGTGCTTTCACAACACATGCTCCGTTTTCAAGGACACCAAGACTCCGAAAATTACTTGTAGCCTTTGGCAATATAAATACAATTGCAACAGGTATAATTCTTGTCCTCACTCTATTGAATTTCATTGTTTACCATTTAAATTGTTCGGAATCAACATTGGATGAGGAGGAGTTGCACAGACATCAAACCGGGCAGCATTTGAATAATACTTTCCGTCGCTTCTCACTTGTTGAAATTTGGTTGGCCACCAACTACTTTGATGATGAACTTGTCATTGGTAAAGGTGGATTTGGTAATGTGTACAAAGGGCTCATTGACAGGACCACGTGTGTTGCCATAAAACGGAAAAATTCGAAATCCAATCAAGGGGTTCGCGAGTTTCGTGCTGAGATCGATGCCCTTTCCAAGTTTCGGCACAATCATGTCGTCTCTTTGATTGGCTACTGTGATGATTGTTATGAGCTGATCCTTGTTTACGAGTATATTGCCCGTGGGACCCTTGTTGAACATCTCCACAAAACTAGTAGAAATGGCATGGGTAGTAATTCTCCTCTTTCCTGGGAACGACGACTCAACATTTGCATTGGTGCCGCACGTGGGTTGGACTTCTTGCATACGAGTAGCGGTGCCCACCATGGAATCATACATGGTGACGTGAAGAGTGCAAACATTTTGTTGGATGAAAATTGGGTAGCTAAGGTTTCTGATTTTGGATTGTCCAGAATGGACACTTCAGACATATCCCGCACCCACATTAGCACTTTGATTAAAGGTACAATTGGGTATCTGGATCCGGTGTATATGATGACTGGAAGACTGAGTAAGAGATCAGACGTATATGGTTTTGGTGTGGTATTGTTGGAAGTGTTGTGTGGGAAGAAGGCTACCGATACTCTTGAGGAGGAGCAGTATAGTCTAGCTACATGGGGCAGACAATGCATTCGAGAAGGAACAATTGATCAGCTGGTTGATCCCAGTGTGAAGGAGCAAATCACACCTCATTGTTTAAGAGGGTTTGCGGAAATTGCCAACAAATGCTTGCATGATCAACCAAATGAACGTCCTACGATGGCTGAAGTAGTGGCGAGACTCGAATTAATTATATTAGAGTTGCAAGGGAGGACTGACTCTTATACAGAGCAAGTGGTTATCGATGTTGGTGGGACTTCCAATGAGGGTGTTGAATTGAGTATTACATCAGAGAATTCTCCTTCTGTGTCTTCTTGCGATTACAATATATGTCCTGTGGAAGTACTAACTGAAAGCAGCTTGGAGAGTATCACATTGGAGTATTCTCCTTCCGCGTCTTGCCATTACAGCGTACCTCCTGTGGAAGTAATAAATGAAAGCAGCTTGGAGAGTATTTCACCTGGAACAACTAAGAATATGGAAGTTGGGAAAAAGAAAGATTATGGTTTTAATCACAGATGGTGGATGGGGTGGCAGTTGAATTCAAAGACAAAAGCTTATCCAATGCCAGAGGTACATTGTCATCGCTTTTCCCTGGCAGAGATTTGAGCCTCCACGAACCGTTTTAATATTGGTCGCCTCCTAATGATACGAAGTTATCGTAGTAATGTTTATGTGGGTTATATAGAAAAAACGAAGGTTGCTATCAAACGGTTCTCTAGAGATTATTCTTATGATTGGTTTTGCTCAGAGTTGGAGGTGCTGTCCCAGGTTCGATGCATGAACGTGGTGTCCCTGGTTGGGTACTGCTATGATGGGCATGAGATGATCTTGGTGCACGAATACATGTCCAACGGTAGCCTATCCGATCGTCTCCACAGTTGTAATATTGATAATCAATGTCTCTCATGGAAGCAGAGGCTCCAAATCTGCATTGGTGTCGCCCAAGGACTGAACCACCTTCATACAGGTGTGGAGGGGAAGACAATTATTCATGGTGACGTGAAGCCGCACAACATTCTCTTTGGTAAAAACTGGGTTGCAAAGATTTCAGATATCAATTTATCCTTGTCGCGGTACCACGAGGTCATCACCACAACAGTTTTGGAGGGATCACTTGGCTATCTTGATCCAGAGCATTTTCTTACTTCTCGATTCACAATAAAATCTGATGTTTACTCTTTCGGCGTGGTGTTGCTTGAAGTGTTGTGTGGGAGGGAGGCTTTTTTATTCGATGAACAGGAAAAGCATAGGTTTCTAAGCAAGTGGGCCATAGAGTGTATAGAAGCAGGGTCAGTTGAAGAGATCATTGATCCATATCTGATGGGGAAGATTTTGCCTCTTTCTTTGAGCGTGTTTGTGGAAATTGCTAGCAACTGCTTGCTTCTCAGAAGTACTGAACGCCCTTCGATGATTGATGTTGTGCGCAAACTCCAGCTGGCCCTGCAACTGCAGGAAACTGCTGATGCTCCATTGGAGTGAGGTGATCAAAATGGTCGAGCCTCCCAATTACAAGAAAAGAAGAGAATCTTTTTGAGGTTAGTGATAGTTTTCAACTGTAATAGTACAAATGACAATTTCTTTCTTTATAAATTCAACATAAAATGGATAATGCAACTTCTATATACATACATGTGTGTGTGTGCGTGTATATATATATATTTTGCTTCTATGCAAATGTCACGTAGGTTGTTGAACCAATTCCGACTTCATGTACCCCATATCCAAATCCTAATCTCATTGGAGATCCCGTATAATTTTATATAAGATCCCACTAAAAACTATATATAGTTCACCACGCGTTTGATATAATAATCACTCTACCAACTTGGATTTCCAACGTATTCATCATCCTACTTCTTCCTAGTTCTTTTTAGCACCTTGTAAATATTTTACTTTTATTTGATTTGTCATTACACAAATACTACTATTTTGGTTTAAACCTTGTATTAAAAATATCATAAATTTTCTTTAAACTAATCTTCACACCGACAATTGGTGTACACACCAAAATTTTTATGGATTCTCTTGAATAGATATCTATATATATATTCCTCAACTACATGTTACATTTAGCCATTTACATAAACTTTAAACCATTATTCTACTTAATATATTTTCACTCATCTTCACTGCAGGGGCGAGTAGAAGGAACCAACTATAGTTCACACGAGTCATTCTCATTAGAGTGGCATCCTGACTCCATTTATCATTCTTCATCATCTTTGCAAGACAGAGCTCCCTCGCCCAGGTGAATGACTTGTATTCTTGTAAAACTTAATATAGATTGGATTCCATCTTTTAAGATATATATACATATATAGAGAGAGTATGCGTGTGTGTTAAAGCTAAATATGCAATCAGCGAAAGTTTGGACTGGTTGTATACTACTAATGGATCAGAGCTTTGAAGAACCTTGATGTTAATTTCTTCAAGAAAAGCACGTGCCATTGTTCTGTCTCTTACCCGGGAAATGATTTTTCATTGGAATAGATGTTGTATATTGTGATTTGATGATAATCCTATAAATTTCATTTGCAGGCTACAATGTTTCTGATTTTAATGCATATTAAAATGTCCAGACGTTTTTTGGCACATGCGAAAATCAACAATGCAAATTCAAAACAATTAGTAAAAAAATGGAAAACAGAAGTGAAAAAAAAAAATACGCAACAAAATTGCTACTGAAACAATGCAACACTATTCTTGTTCTTTTTCCTTCCTTTGTTAACTTTTACTGAAAATTTTAATTAATGGATCAAACATTAGTCATTTATTTGAAGCAAATTTTCCCATGAACTTAAGTTCCTAAATGCTCTGTTCCAAATGTGCAAAACTAGAAACTTCTGGTCAATTAAGCTCAATCAAGATGACTATTGCATTGATTTTCTAATTTTACATTCTAATAATTAAACAACACTATATATATATATATATATATATATATATATATATATATAGGATTACTATTAAGATTGTTAAAAAATCAACTTGATGCCGAATGTTAAGGCAACATTATACTATATAGGATACTTGACAATAGTATGAGAAATAGTATGCATTCTAAAAGGCTCAGTATGAGAAATAATATCCATCATAAAAGGCTTGAGATTAAAATTTTATTATACCACATAATGCTCCTTCTAACCTTTTAAAATGACAATCAAATTACAATATGCTCACATTTGGACCCTAGTTGACAAGCATTCTAAGTCTATGTTGGCAAAGTAGAATAGAGCATACCTCACCAGTGATCAAAGCTTCTGAGATGTTCCACTTCCTCATATCTGTTCTTAGAACTGGAGAAAGATTTTCAACCTTAGAACTTCTGCTAGGGCTTTATTTGGAAGGAGAGAAGCGGCAGGGCTTTGGGTGGTGCTTTCCTCTGTGATGAGGAATTGCTAAAGACGCTCTGTTCCCATGAACATAAGTTCCTAAATTCTCTGTTCCGAATGTGCAAAAACTTGAAATTTTTGGTCAATTAAGCTCGATCAAGATGACTATTGCATTGATTTTCTAATTTTACATTCTAATAATTAAACAACTATATCTATATAGGATTACTATTAAGATTTTTTAAATATCTGATTGATGTCAAATGTGAGGGTAACAATTGGTAGTTTCATTGTTGTGTTGGAAACATTTTCATTTTTGTTTATGATTCAATTGGTTGAGGATGATGCTACCAGACCATAGGAGTCTCCTGAGGTTCTGCTCCATCCCTTGAATCACTTAGCCCAGAAAGTTTGCACACTCAGGAGAATGACCTTAGTGTGCTGAAGTCTGCCTGAAAATGGAAACATTCTAGAACTCTAACTGGTTATTATAACAGAAATTTTATCAAGATAACACCTGCAATTGATCAAGAGTTGTGAGTTTTGTGGAGATTAAAGAAACACCAAGATATATAAGTGGTAGATGACCCTCCTGGAAACCAAGGAGATGAAGAATGGAGGCTTTAGAGGACTGTGGGACAGCTGAAAGGAATACAGAGCTTTTGGACAGGTTAGGAACTAGATCAGAAAAAGCTGAAAAGGAATTCAAAGCATCATTAAGGACATTGACAAATTTAAAATTACCATAAGAAAATAGCTTGAGGTCATCCGCAAAAGATGAGCGAGTGATTTGAAGAGGCTTGCATCTCCAATGGCACCTAAAATGGGGGCTTGAGGCAACCATCTTCTGAACAATTGAAGAATGGTCATCCATGACTATAACAAAAAAACTGATTTCATTTGTTTATGAATTCACATGGACTTTTTCTGTTTCCATAAGTAGCGGTCAGAGGAATGCTACACAAATAATTTACAATAACTTATCGATGAAACAAGAGCAGAATTTATTTGCGTGTAAGATGGGATTCTAGTAGGATTTACCTTTGATTTAATTGGATTCTCTTATGTACAGGAGAGAGTCTAAGTGCTGTTTAAAGATTTGTGATAGGTTACATTATCAAGTCAAATGAAATTTAGTGACATGAGAGGTCATGAAAACCATGAGCACAAAGAGTTTGTAAAGTGGACCATATTTACACAGCAGGGCCGGTCATGAAAATATATTCATTCATCACCGCAATAATTGTGTATACATATGGCTATCTCTATCCAAAGTATATTGCAAACTGGTTGATTTATGAAAAAAATCTGATGTTTACTCTTTCGGCGTGGTGTTGCTTGAATTGTTGTGTTGGAGGCGAGCAGTATCATTCGATAGACCTGAAAAGCCGAGGCTTCTTAGCAGGTGGGCCATAGAGTGCATGTAAGCAGGGTCAGTTGGAGAGATCATTGAGGCTTCTTTCTTTGAGAGTGTTTGTGGAATTTGCTAGCAAATGTTTGCTTCTCAGAGGGCCTGAATGCCCTTCAATGAGTGATGTTGTGCGCATACTCGAGCTCGCTCTGCAATTGCAGGAAACTGCTGATGCCCCATTGGAGAATGAGGTGATCAAAATGGTCGAGCCTCCCAATTACAAGAAAAGAAGAGACTCCTTTTAAGGTTAGTGAAAGTTATCAACTGTAATAGTTCAAATGTCAATTACTCTCTTTCTTTATAATTTTCAACCTAAACAATGTATGCATGTTACTTTATTAGATTTGTGATTAAACTAATACTAAAGACTGTTCATCATCTACTCCTTTCGAGTTCTTATGAGCACTTTGTACATATTTTTACTTGTATTTGATTTGTCATTACACTAATACTAAACGCGATTAATTCTACAATATTGGTTTTTACCTTACAATAAAGTATCAAAAATTTTCCTTAAACCAATGCTCACAGTTTATGACAATAGGTACACACGCCAAATTTTTTATGGATTTTCTTAAATATGTATCTCCTCAATTACAAGTTACATTTAGCAAATTACATCAATTTTTACCTATAATACTAATTATTTTTCACTCATATTCTCCACAACCGCAGGGACTATTAGAAGTAACCAACTATAGTTCACGAGTTATTCTTGTCAGATGGGCATCCTGACTCCATTTATCGATCTTCAACATCTTTGCAGGACATAGAGCTCTCTGGCCCAGGTGAATAACTTATGTTCTTGTAAAACTTAATATAGGTTGGCTTCCATCTTTTAAGATATATATTTGTATGTATATATATATATATAGACGGAGAGTGTATATGTGTGTGTTTTAAAGCTAAATATGCTATCAGCGAAACTTTGATGTTATCAGTTGTACACTATTAGTGTATCAGAGCTTTGAAGAACTTTGATGTTAATTTCTTCAAGAAAAGCACGTGGTGGTGTTCTGTCTTTTACACAGGAAATGATTGTGAATAGATGGTGCTTATTGTGAATAGATGGTGCTTATTGTGAATTGATGTTAATCCTATAAATGTCATTTGGAAGCTATGATGTCTTTGATTTTAAAGCATATGAAAATGTCTAGACATTTTTGACATGCATATTGGTAACGATTAGTGGAAAACGCAAAACAGAAGTGAAAAGTTAAAACTTTTTTTTAACTTAGAAACAATGTGATCCAACATTGGTCGTTTATTGTGTAGTTCTTCCGATGAACTTAGGTTCCTAAATGCTCTGCTCTGAATGTGCAAAAACTTGAAACTTCTGGTCAATTAAGCTCAATTAAGATGACTATGGCATTGATTTTCTAATGTTGCAATCTAATAATAAACAACAATATGTTATATGTGTGTGTATATATATATTAGATAGGATTGCTATTATGATTGTTTAAAAAACAGCCTGTTGCCTAACGTATAGGCACCAATGTAGGATTCTTAACAATAGTATAAGTAATAATTTGCATTCTAAAAAGGCTTGAGGTTAACAAAAGGGCACCGAGAAGATTGTTTAAAAAAATTCGGATACTTGACAATAGTATGAGAAATATTATCCATCCTAGAAGGCTTGAGGTTAAAAATTTATAGCATTATACCACATAATGCTCCTTCTAACCTTGAAAAATGATAAGCCAATCGCAACAAGCTCAAGTTCATTTTATGGTTCTCTTTTTGAGTAACTTCAAGGCCCCAACAAAAATCTTCTTTCTTAGCTTTTTGGGGAGTTCAATTTCCTATCTCCAATATTTTTGTTGAAAATTTGGAGATACTATTGATTCATCATTTCATTTGATTAGTTGGGACAATAAAATTTTTAGGAATGTTACTTGGTAAAATTTCTTGCACAAGTAGCATTTTCATGAAAAGTTAATTTTCATTGAAGAATTGGAATTTATCTAGGTTTACTCTTCAAGGTATCAGCCCCTTACCACCCAAAGGGAGGTAAGGGGTTCAAGTCTCAGAAGAGACGTGTGTGTGAGTACCAACTAGGAAAAAAAAAAAAAATTTCTTGCACAAGTAGCATTTTCATGACAAGTTAATTTTCATTGAGGAATTGGAACTTATCTAGGTTTACTCTTCATGGTAGACCTGCTCAAAGCCTATGATACCCTTAGTTTGCCTTTCCTTCTTTGATGTACTCACCCTCTTGAATTTTCCCTCAAAATTTATTGATTGGATTTCCACAAGCATCTCCATTGCCGGGGTTTTTTTTTCTATCCCCTACCTGTTTGTTCTTGCCACGGATTCCCTTTCTGAAATCACAAACACACTCACTTTTGAGAACCCTGATTTTATTTTTCACTGGAGATGCCAAGCTGTGAAAATTTCTCACTGGACATTTGCTATGATGTCTTAATGTTCAGAAAGGGTGATTTTAATTTAGCAAGAACCCTCAAAGAGTCCACTGATACATTTTCTGATCTTTCTGGACTCAAAGCTAACCCAAACAAGAGCCAATTTTTTTTTTCAGTAATGTCCATGTCCATCTCCAATATTTTTGGAAATTCCATTGGCTTCCTCCCAGTTAGATACCTAGGCATCCCTCTGATTTCATCAAGGCTCTGTGTTGTTGACTGTAAAATTCCCATAGACAAAATGCTTGCTAAGATATCAAATTAGACCAACAGGAGCATCTCCTTTGCTGGGAGACTCCCAACTCATCCAAGTTACCTTACTTAGCATTCATTCCTTTTGGACAAACATTTTCATTCTTCCATCCAAGGTTATCCAGGGCATGAACATGATCCTACAAATATTTTTGTGGTTTGGACCTTCCATGCCAAGGTTCAGAGCCGAAGTTTCCTGGGAACAATGCTGCAGCCCAAAGAATGAAGGTGGTTTGGGCATGCCTAATCTCTCTACATGGATTAGAGCATCAATCGTGAGGCATATTTGGTAACTTTTTACAGATTCTTCCCAAAACATATTGAAAGAATGGACTGATATTCACTTAAACACATAAGCTTTTGGTATTTGAAAATCCCTGGCAACTGTTATTAGTTTTGGAGAAACCTACTTCGGGTTAGACACCTAGGTGTCATGGGCTTAGAGTTTCAGCACCACTCTAGCTACTCCCGTGCGGCACTAATACGTTGCTTTTACTCCTGCAAATACTTGGTCAGCCTAACTCCTATACACACCTTAACCAACACACTCCCCTTGTGCGCTTACTAGTGTTGTAGTGGCCCTCACCCTCTCCTTACTTGGCTTGCACACTCACACCCACTAAGGCACTTCAGTTGGCAAGGAAAGAACACTTCTATTACTTCAAAGAATGCTTTGTACAAGGCTAGCACTCCAACTCTCTACAAGGCTCTCAAGACTCACTCTAGGACTTGTTGGCTAGAAAATGAAGTCCTACTCCTATTTATAGGCATCCCCATCCCTAATGGACAGCTAGGATGCATTCTAACCGACGGTGGAGATCAATTCTCTAGAATCTTCTCCCACCTTCTTCACACTTCCATACTTATCCACAAATATCTATAACATTCTAAAACTCTTCATACTACTCCACATAATTCTGGAGAACTCTAGAATATACTACACATATCTAGAATCTTCCACACAATACTAGACAGCTCCGGAAGACTTTAGAAACTTCACTCGCCATGCAGCGTCCTCCTCAGCGTCTGCGTGTCGCCTGCGTGGCACAACCTCCATAGGCGGGGCGTGACATTCTCCCCCACCCATTTCCGTGACGCTCTCGTCACGGTTTCTTCAGCTAATCCAGCCTCTCGCAGGTCATCAGCATTTGCGCATATGTCCTTGGCCCAAACGTACGAGCACCTTTCGGGAGATGTGAGGTCCTCACGAGCTCCATCGTGTTGACTGCCACCTCTGGACTCTCCTTCCTGCCTACGAGCGGCACCATGCATGCGGCCTTGCCTTCCTCGCCTCCAAGTATCATCAACGTACCAAGGCATGGTAGTGGCGCGGCATTGTTCCTGTCCATGAACTCCAGCCCTAGCACCATGTCGTGGTTGTCCATCTCTGCAACCTGGAAGTCGGCCTTGCCCTTCCATCCTTGCATGCATAGCTCCACCTCCTTGCACACTCTACTTACGCGTGCCTCTTCGGAGTTGACTGCCTTGATCCAGCCCTTCGTCTTGCGCATCTCCATGCCAAGTCGTTGCGCCTCCTCTGGGTTAATGAAGTTGTGTGTGGCGCCCGTGTCCACAAACGCTTGCACGGCTTTGCCACCAACATGCGCATCCACATAGCGCACCCAGCTACCTTCTTTGCCTTGTCCTTCTTCTTGGTGTCATGCGCTATGCTATTCAGCATCTGCATAGCCCCCATGCACCTGTCTTCATCGCTGCCCGCATCGTCCATCTTACCCTTGCCCTTATCTTTCACAAGGGCACTCATGGTCTTCTTGTTAGGGCAGTGTCGCAATAGGTGCGGCCCTTCGCACAACTAATACTTTGGCAGCTCCCACTTGCCCTTGTCGCGGTGCTCCCTTTTGCCACTAGCCTTGAACCTCTCTCCATGGTCCTTGCCCTTATCATGGCGTGGACGTCTCTCCTCATCACTGTGCTCATCATCACTGGACTTGGGCGAGCCCTCTTTCTTGAAGCGCCGATCTCCCCCACCTTTGTCGTGGTCCCTCCTGGGAGACGTGGCCCTCTTGTCATCGTGCCTAAAGTCTTCAAGGCGCTCCGCTATAGCCATTGCGGATGCCAAGTCTCTAGGCTTCCTCATTCTCAACTCTGTGGCTACCCAAGACTACAACCCATCAATGAACAAGCACACGCATTGCCACTCCGGCATCTCTGAGATCTCCAGCATCAAGTTGGAGTACTCCTTCACATATTCCCTTATGCTGCCCTTCTGCTTTAGGCGCCTTAGGTTGATCATGGCGAGGCCCTCAACGCACTTAGGGTAAAACTGTCTCTTGAGCTGCCTCTTGAACTCCTCCCATGTGTCAATCGCTCTTACGCCTCTACCGGTGAAGCGCTGCCTCCACCATAGAGCGGCAGTGTCCGTGAGGTATATAGTGCTCGTCTGCACCTTCTCTTCATCGTCCTCGATCTCCGTACACTCGAAGTACCGCTCCATGTGCTAGAAGAAGTTGTCAATCTGGCGCGCATTTTTTGCCCCATCATACTCCTTGGGCTCCGGCGCCTTCTTTTTCCTTGGCTTCACCACGACCTCGCGCGCCTGCAAGAACTCCTTCTTGCACTCGGCAATCTCCATGCGCAAGTCGTCTACCCGATCATATAAGTCCCTTTCCTTCTCTTATGCCTTGTTGGCGATGCCATCAATCAGCTCGTAGAGCTCCGCCATCATTCTCTCGAGCCTGTTAAACTTGGTCTCAGTGTAGACCAAGTGTGTAGCAAGCTTCTCCTCCAAGCTCTGCTCCAAGACGTGGATTTGGTGGTCTTTTCCGCTAGCCATGTCTACTCCAACAAAGCTCCCTTGACGAATCGGCTCTGATACCAACTGTCACGGGCTTAGAGTTTCAGCATCACTCTAGCTACTCCCGTGCGGTACCAAGATGTTGCTTCTACTCGTGCAAGTACTTGGTCAGCCTAACTCCCGTGCACACCTTAACCAACATACTCCCCTCGTGCGCTTACTAGTGTTGTAATGGCTCTCGCCCTCTCCTCACTTGGCTTGTACACTCACACCCACTAAGGCACTTACGTTGGTAAGGAAAGAACACTTTTATTACTTCAAAGAATGCTATGTACAAGGCTAGCACTCCAATTCTTTACAAGGCTCTCAAGACTCACTCTAGAACTTGTTGGCTACAAAATGAAGTCCTACTCCTATTTATAGGCATCCCCATCCCTAATGGACTGCTAGGATGCATTCTAAGCGACGGTGGAGATCGATTCTCTAGAATCTTCTCCCACATTCTTCACACTTTCATACTTATTCACAAATATCTCCAACATTTTAGAACTCTCCATACTACTCCACACAATTCTGGAGAACTTTAGAATATACTACACATATCTAGAATCTTCCACACAACACTAGACAACTCTGGAAAACTCTATAAACT